AGCTTCAATTCCTCACACACTCTCCGAACATGAGAGTAATAGTCCTCAAGACTTAGAGTACCCTGCTCCAGACGAAAATACTGTTAGCATACTTTATATGCATGAGTGAAATCCCTTTGGCCGTGTCAAGATAAAGCAAAGTAGAACTGATATTAGGCTCAATACTATTTAATAGCAATGAAATAATCTAAGCATCTTCTTGTTCCCACTTATCATACCCAGGAGTACCTTCCTTGGGTTTAGTGTCTACTAAATATTTCTTAAAGCCCTTACCTCTAAGAAACACTTGAACAGATCGTAGCCACAAAACATAATTGGTCCTATTGAGTTTAACAGATGTCATGGGACCATTAAGTAGAATCGTAGGAGAAAAATTTGGTGAGATGGATGAAACAAGATCAATCTGACTATCATCATTTTTATTCTTTGGTTCCATAATAATATAGCAATAATAGAAGCAAAGGAAAAGGAGAAACCGTGATACCAAGGCTGGAAGAACACCAAGGAGCACGAAACAGTGGATTAGGTGCCTGAACCGGACCAAATAAGGTTGCTGGAGTGATGTACCAGACTGAACAAGGCTGTTGGAATACTGAACCGGGCTGGAAAAGTGGACTGGACCACTGAACCGGACCAACAAGGCTCTCTTGACCTCTGAACTAGACCGGCTAGGCTCTCTGGACTCTTGAACCGTGATCCGGTCTAAGTTAAACTGTGGGCTGGACCGGGTCTGGACTTAAAAACAATTTAAGTTGTGAGCTGGACCCAATCTGATCTTGACCCAACTCCTCGGGTTGGATCTCTTCGTCTTCTTCGCTACCTAGGGTTCCAAGAAGACCCTTTGGTCTGCGACAACAACAAGACCACCACAACCACACCACTATCACGGAGAATACTACTCGATGGTGAACAGAAGGCACTCCACCACCACAACCGATCACGCCACCACACTAACAAGGACCACCATAACAACACCACAACACCACCACCACGAACGACACAAGTGGGCTAACAGAGACCACAGGATGAATAAAAACCACACAACAGTGTTACTGTGTTTAGAATTGTTTAAGCTCTGATACCAAGTTAAAAACTTAATCTAGCTCTCATACATCATTTGTATTTATAGTTAACATACAATAATAAGAATTACATATACATCCTCTTACTATTAACAATTTACACATATTACCCTACTATTCTTAACATGATAAATATGGAAGACCAATCTATGCTATTAAGGTTTTTGATGACCTTACTCCACGTGTATCTCAACCATCTTGACCAGTGGACATACTACATCTACATCTAACTTTCATGATGAACTTATTTCTCAACTCAGCCAACAATTGTCTTCACATATGCCTACTTCAACTATTGGTTTGATCACTACAAGTAATTTTGCACATGTGGCAATTCAATCAATTTCACCATCTTGGATTATTGATTCAAGAGTTAGTGTTCACATGTATGGTATTTCTTACTTGTTTTCTAAATTTTACTTGTCTAACTTCCGTATAGAGTTAGTTGATGATTCTTTTAGGCTAGTGCGTGGGACTTGTGATCTTCATCCCATTAAATTCTTGTCGTTAACATCTAGTTTATATGTCCCTCAGTCTCCATTTAACCTGTTATCTACGAGTCAATTAACCAAGTCTATAGTATTTGGTGACTTTTTCTCCATCCTCTTGTGTTTTTCAGGACCTCTAGACACAGAAGGTGATTGGTTTAGGGCATGAACAGAGTGGGTTTTACTACTTGGATTCTAGAGTTACTGTTTTGGCCTTGAGTGCTATAGTTTTTTTTTTTATCTCCAGTGGCATTTTCGATTGGATCATCCATTATTGCAAAAGTTTTATCAAGTCATTTTTAGTCTAAGTCCTTCTATTATGTTAGAGTGCAGGGCTTGTCAATTAGGCAAGCATAATTGTACTTCCTTTCTTGCTAGTAGTTAGAGTCGTCTGTATAGTCCTTTTGCAATTGTTTATTTTGACATTTGCGATCCTTCAAGAATAAATAGTACTTTTGGATTTCATTATTTTGTAATTTTTGTTGATAATTATTCTCATATGATTTGATTTTTTCTTATAAAGAATCGATCTGAATTGCCTAAAATTTTTCTTACATTCTATAATAAAATTTTGGTACAGTTTGGTAAACATATTAAGATATTTCGTGTTGATAATATTCTTGAGTATGTACAATCATTTTAACAAAGTTTCATTTGAAAATATGATCCCCGAATAATATTCACCTATGTGTACAACAAAACAATCATATGACAGCTCTAAAAAGTCATATGTTGAACAAAGGAAGTGAAAAAAAAATAAAGTTGCTTTTAGTCGCAGGAATTTGTAATCGTAACAATTGTTGAAAACTTCAATGCACATAGTATAAGAAAAACACAAAATAATCATACACTGTCGAAAACTTCATTACTTGTAGGACAAAAATGCTTGTCCCCCACTTGAGTAAGCCATTTCATTTACCACAATCATCGTATAAGACAAAATGCACATCTATAAAATAAAACATAACAGACTTTAATAAGTTTATTCGATGGTCTCAAATGTACTTATTCAAAGACTACCAACATCTTTCTCAAAATCATTCACATTGGACCGTACCTTCAAATACAAGTTATTCTTAGTTATAATATGATAGGCATGATATGAATTTGAAAGATTCTCAAATTTTCTGCCTTATTTCATTCCAAAGGGGACGCTTGCATTCCACCCAAGCATCACGCCAACACATTGCCCAACCCTGCATTGTCCAACTTCGACTTCTAATTGAGATTTAAAACCCCACCAAATCCTCCATGATTCTGAAGTAATGTTACAACTAGGAGCGTTTCTCCGGTTGTATCTGTTATTCGGTACTTTTCCTGCGAGACCGGCCCCACAGTGGAGAAAAAGAAGCGGTGGATTTAAGTCCCATCAATAAGAGAGCCTCAAAATTTTAAAAGACTATAAATATAGTTCAAGTCAATTTTAATCTATTAAAATTAGCCTTATAAGAAAGCCCCATATGAAGGCCCAAATTAACAAAAAAAATTCAAGACCCATTTTGGGCCTAAATTTTCAATTCATTAATCTCACACAATAATATTTAAAAAAAAAAAAGAAACTATATTTTGTACCTAATTTAGCTATTTTATCTTGTGATGTGATGGATCATAACTATGAAATTGATAGTGGGTCGCAACTAATAGTAAGATCCACTGTCAATCTAATAACATAAAATGATAAGATCGTCAAATAAGATTACTAAATAAGGTTCATGTAATATTGTCCTTTTCATTATAATCTTAAAAAACTTAATCAAACATATATTTCGTGAGTAATGTCTAATTCATAGAAAAATAATTTTATAAGAGTGTCGATGACGAGACGACATAACCTGTCGAATAATCTTTGAATTTAAAACTTTTGGAATTTTTTATTTAATTTAAAAATTAAGTCAATTAGTTATACTATCAATAAAAAAAGATATGTTAGAAAAACTTCAATACGAATACTAAATAATTAATATACATTCAGAAAAAAAAAATTAAATATTAAAAGAAATTACACTATTATTAACAAAAATTTCAATATTATTAACAAAAATTTCAATTGAATTTATCATTTTAGGCCTCAAAACATATGAAGCCACCCCTGTTTTCTTGATAACTTCTCACCTATAAGGTACCACCGGAACGAAGTTGCATTTGTGTGGAGGCATTTTCTTAAGAGCGGTTGTAGCCTTAGCAACTGAATAACATTTGGCAGTCTATTTAAGGGTAAATCCTAATTTAATGCGAGATATTTTATTATTTGACTTGACCAAATCGGAATTTAATGCAAGATATTTACATTTAAACCCAACTTGGGGATGGAGTCTTGGATTTTTTTTGGACCCACTGTGAATTCAATAAGAATTAGAGAGGTTTTGTTTTTTTGGTCATGAATTAGAGAGATTAGGTTCAATCTGCAGTTGAGTGAAATTTCATTTAATCTGAGAATTAAGCCTGAATTCAAGCTCATGATGATAGCTTTATAATGGGGATTCAACCTGAATTAGAGCCCATTAGTGCCGGCATGGCCGAAGTAGAGGCACGAACACAGGCATGCCGTGCGTGGGCCTTTTGTTTTTGTTTTTTTTTTTAAAATTTGGTTCAAAAGGACAAATTTACCCCTTCCAGCAGCTATAAAAGGACTAATCCTAGGGGTAAATTTGTAGTTCAATGTTTATATAAATTCTCTACAAATATGCCAATGATGCATAAATCATAGACTGTTGTTATATGTGCTATTGACCCAAAGTTAATTGGTTTTGTATTGAAATACCATATTCACCTTGGATAAGGTAAGAAATGGTACTTACTTTAAATTTTAGTAAAGAAAAAAATAACATGAAATTAAATTCCAAACAACGCGATTTAGGCACGGTTATGAGATGACTTAGGCGCAGAGCACGACAAGACATGAATACGGATTGCACCATTACATGCCCAGCTGGGCCTTTCTGTTTACTGGTCCTAACCTCAAAAGAAAATTATTTTTTTCTATCTTTATTTTTTCAAAATACAAATAAAAACTTCATTAAATTCATCAAGAAGATGTAAAGTCAATACAGATTGCTTTTAAGCCATTTCAGTGGGTCCAAGAACCCTATCTTGTCAAAACTATTATAATACAAAAGCACACACACATTTCAAAATTGCTTTGACATCATACAACACAATAATACAACCCCAAAGGAGTTTTTTTATTCTATAGATTGGGCAGCATATCTAGACAAAAGGTGTGGTCCAAACATCTCTGCCTTATCTTGCCAACTAACCACTTGATATGAAAGTGAAACCATTGAAAAAAACATTAAATTCTCAAAGCATCAATAGGCCTCTTCCCCTGCTGGAAGAACTCAAAATAATTAGCAGTGTAATCCACAAACCATCTCTGCCTTATCTTGCCAACTAACCACTTGATATGAAAGTGAAACCTTTGAAAAAAACATCAAATTCTCAAAGCATCAATTGGCCTCTTCCCCTTCTGGAATAACTCAAAACAATTAGCAGTGTAATCCACAACTTTCTTGTAGAGCCTTGGCCTTTTCTCATCAATCAAACCCTCTGCTGGTTCAACCACACTTGTTGGATCAGGAGCAAAGAAAAAAGCAGCAGTGATCCTTTCTCTCTCTTTGTTTGTCACAACCCTGTGCATTGGGCTCTTGTATATGCCATTGGTCATTATCTGCAGATTTTATTGACCTAATTTTAAGCAAAGCAGACACCAAAAAAAGAAGAAAAAGGAAAGAGTGGACCCTTAAAATTGGGCTTTAAACAAGCCACTACCAAGTTAAAGGAAATCTTCTTTGAAATATAAATATTCCCAAAAGCAACTAAGTCAAAAGAAAATGTCATATATAGGTACAACTCTGGTGAGTTGGGGTTGGTTAAGAGGTTAATCCGACTCAATTCAAGATATTAAAACCCACAAATCGAGTTGAACACATACACTTTAACTTAAATAATACCTATATTCAGATTTGTGGACTTGGGTTACACAATTTGGGTTGAGATCAGGTCAACTAAAGCTTAATTCTTGGGTTACATAATTTGGCCTAAAAATATGGATCTAATTCAGTTGAACTCCCAAATATGATCATCGAGTTATTAAGTACATGCTAGAATTTGGTTCAATTTAGGTAGAATTTGGATCTGACTTGGGTCAAATCTGGATTCATTAGTTGGGTTGTGTCTCGAGTTCCCCGGACCCCAACCTGAATATTATCTGAAAGTTCAGATCTTGTATCCAAATCCAACCCGTATATTAAAAATATGACTAATGCTAGATGGACTTAAAAATTAAATTTAAAAATTAGATTTGATAATCCCAACCATTGAATAGGTAGTGAATCTTAATAATTATTGAGACTCACAGTGAAATCAATGGTTGTAATTATTAAATCTAATTTTTAAGTCTACTTTTTAAGTCCATGTAGCATTACTCTAATATTTGATCAAGGATGTGATATAATCAACAATCTCCTTACCTCAAGTTGATCACCAACATTGAAGACAATGGCATCAGGAATAATGGGAGCTCTATACCATTTATCATCTTCAGGAATTGAAGGCCTTCCACTTCTCTGTCTTGCAGAAGATAAGTAGTCCCTGAGGCATCTCCATGTGCTTTTGCAGCAAGAACAAGATGAGGGGTTGGGCATGGAGGGTACAAGTTAAATCTTGCCAAAGCTGTTGGCTTTTTCCCAAATTGTTTCACAAAACAGTTCTCTTCCAAGTTCAATGACTTTGCTATGGCCTTGAGGATGATCTCATTTAGTATACTCACATAGCATTTCACTGCGAGATGAAGAAAAAAAAACTTAAAAGATCTTATGCAAGAGAACCGCAAAAAAAAATAGAAAAATATGGATTATATAAATATACATGGTTCAAATTGGAAATCAAAAATGTTGGGTTTCCCTCCTTTGTGGGACTTATCAATTTGCTAAATATAGTTTTGTTAATTTTGGCATGCACCTTGGTAAGCACATGAATTTTAATTTGGTGGCTTTCCCATGCATGACTCTTGGCATATTCAAGGCTTGGTTTGAGTTTTCACGTTAAAGCAATTTGAGCAGTCAAATAAGGTTACAAGCTTTTGTCATTTCCTTGGTTTTCTCTCTTCTCGGTTGGCTTGGCAAGAAGATTTCTTGGGTAGTCTTTGGTTCAACAGAAAATTCAGCCTTCTTCTTCTCCATTTTTGGTGCCACAAAAATCTGCAAATTTGTTCTTCAAGTGGGTAACATTTCTTCACTTGATATTTGGGTTTCTTGCAGTTTGTTCTTGGAGATTTGGTTCACTTATTTTGTGAGGTATTTTCCTCTTGTGATTTACACCTTGGTGTGTTTGTAAGGCTTATGCCTTTTGGCCACTTTGTCATCTGATTTGGTAATAGTGGAAGAAACTGACCTACCGGTCGTCGTGGATGTACCTCAAGTTATTTGAGGGAACCACGTAAATCTTGTGTGCTTATTTATTTTCTGTTATTTTATTTATATTGCTTCCATTGATTTACACTTGTGGGAAAGCCTATTTTCCCCAACAAAAAAAACACTAAGGTTTCACTACTCAAATGAAGATTATAAAGGGATAATTGAAATAAAAGAGAATAAACAAATGAACATAGTAGAATTATAATTTCAAATCGAGAAGAAATCGGATTTCAAAATCACTATCAACCTCTTATTTTGATCGAATCCCAGAAATGGGTCGAAAAAATATGCCCCGCTCTATGGTCCAAAACTCGTAATATGTTATTTAATCAAACCGGTATAATATTAGAGCAGGCACAAGTCGAAAATAAAATGTAGGACTTTTTATCACAAAAAATACCTACTAATCAATCTGATTCCAACCCATTTTTGTAACTTTTTAAATTTTAAAACTTAGAACAAGAAAAAACATGATGAGTTTACCTGAACTTTTCGGGATTTTTGGGCCACTTTTTGAGTTTTCTGATATTTTCGGGGAGAGTATTGAGATACAAACGGTCATTCCAATCAAGAGTCTGTTTCTCTGAATATATTACATCATTTCCATATCCATCTATGTCATTTGCTTCTCTGGAGTATTTCTTCTTCTCTTCCATTGGAAGATGAAAGAATTCTCTGGTAAGATCATGCACTTGGTCTAGAAATGAACTCTCAATTCCATGATTTATTATCTGAAGTCCAGAAACCATAGATATCATTAGGATAAGATTATGGTTAAAAACTGATTTTTCAGTTTCGGTACTACATAGTTTTTTTTAACCAGGTACTATATAATTCAAAAAAAAAAAAAACAGTTTTGGTAGAATTATTTGTAATCGTCAATCCCAAAATAATAAGTAAAATGAAATTATGTAATACTTTCCTTATCATCAAAGGATAAAAAGAGAAGATATAACGTTAAAGAAAAATCATGAGAACTATATTATGCCTCCTCTTTCCGGACAACACAAATAGACTCACCGACAGTCAAATAATTTGTGAACCTCCTAGAAATATTTCTATAATGTTTCTCTTCCATTACCTCTCATCTGAAAGCCTTCTTCAATTATTTACTAGAGCAAATATGATTTAGAAATCCATCCATCCGCACATATGATTATGGTGCTAGACTAAAATGAAAAGCCTATCATGTTGGTAACATGTAATAATGATCAACATGAGGATGGCTTTGGAATGCAACAATAATAATAAGGTCCCAAAAAAAAAAGAAATAGGTTCACACACACAAACACACACTTTTCTCACTTGACCTTAGAGTTTGACATTCATTTATGAATCTTGAAGAAGCAAAAGGTTTCCAAGAATATGATGATCTGTAAGTTGAGAAGTGAGTTCTTTAAGTTAATGCAACTAGCATTGTTTACCTTAGACATTCAATAAGCATTACACTTATGATTGCAACACAAATTTCGAAATAACAAGATAACCTTCAATTCACATGTATCTAAAACCGGTTTAAGGCAATAAGAGATACTCAAATTTAAGACGTGTATATTTAGAACTCGCCATTTGTGCGGATTCCTCTTCATTCTTTATTTCATTGATTTATTCCTTCATTTTGAAACTTTGGAAGTGAGACCTTCATTTTCCAACATAGGAAGTGACCAAGGATAAGATATGAAGAACATAACTGACTCTTTAGAACATGATCAATGAGATCAGAGAAGAGCTTTGAGATCAAACCTGAAAGTAACCGCAATAGCCGAGAGCAGACCGGAGCCGATCGAGTTGTTCTTCACCCTCTGGTGAAGAGGATGCAAGCAGACCAAGATCAATGACTGAAATATCCAGCACTGGAAAGGAAGATGCAACATTCAATCCAATACCATCTTTCAAGATGTATCTTGATGGAGGTCCACTGCGGTTCATAGACAGTTCTTGGACTGAACTGGCCAGTGATTCTACCTTTGCAGCCATGTTTTTTAGCTCTGCAGGTTTGATACTAATGATCAGATTGTGTTTGGGAGTTGAGAGAGCAGTGGCTGTGGCCTTATAGTTTGTATTGAGGCTGTTATAGGGAAAACGTAATGAATGTGGGGGTGGATGTAATTTCAATTATTTAGGTGGTAGCTAGGTGCCCCTGTAGACCCAACTTCCTTGACCGGAGATTTTATTAAGTATATGTGGGCCATAATGAAAGATCAGACTAATAATATCAGGTTGGACTTTTTTTCTTTTTTTTTGGCCGGACTTGTTCGACCATACTTTTTTTTATCAATGGGACCCGCAAACCATACTTTCAAGTACGCCATTTTATAATAAAAAATTTATCATTTCTATGGGTAATTTATGAGTATTTTTATTATTTTTTTAATAAAAAAAAATTATCACTTGATGATTTATTATATTTTTATCGCATTTATGGATATTTTTACCACACTTATATCTTATTAAATTTGTCACTTAATCACTCAGACCTCCTGATATTTGAAATATTCCACACAGACCCCTTAAGGTTTGTACCCGCGTAACACTTACACCTCTACTGTAAATATATTCGTTAATAAATTATACTAGACCCCTTAAAGTTTATACGCGTATAATATTTAGACTTTTTAAATTTAAAATATTATATTTAGACAAAAAATACTCCAATCAACGATAGAATATCAAATATTTTAAATTTTACAACCAAAATTCATGTTCTATTGTATCATTTATTGAGATAAAATTAAAAATAAAAATTTAATTTTTTCTTAAAAAATTGTAATTAGTATACAATTATAGTATCTATTGGAATAAAACTAAAAAATTAAACAAAAGGTCTAAGTCATTTTTAATAGAACATGAATTTTACAACCAAAATTCATGTTTTATTATGTCACTTATTTAAATAAAATCAAAAACAAAAATCTATTTTTTTTTAAAAATAATAGTTAATATACAATTATAATATCTATTATAATAAAATTAAAAAATTAAATAAGGATTCAAATTGTAATGAACACAATATCTTTTAGCTTCAATTCAATAGTTTGGTATTTTAATTTGGTCATTTAAACGACCTAATTAAATTCTAATAGACAATATAATTGTACAATAAGTAGGATTTTTTAAGAAAAAATTGAATTTTTATTTTTTATTTTATTTCAATAAATGGTACAATAGAACATGAATTTTAATTGTAAAATTTAAAATATTTAATATTTAATATTCAATCTTTGATTAAAGTATTTTTTTTCTAAATATAATATTTTAAACTTAAAGGGTCTAAATAATATATGTTTACAAACTTTAGGGAGTCTGAATAATATATTCAATCTTGGATTGAAGTATTTTTTTTTTCTAAATAAAATATTTTAAACTTAAGGGGTCTAAATAATATATGTTTACAAACTTTAGGGAGTTTGAATGTAATTTATTAATAGATATATTTACAGCAGGAGTCTAAGTGTTATGTGCGTTACAAATTTTAAGGGTCTGAACGTAATACTTCAAATATCAGTGGTTTGAATAATTAAGTTACAAACTTTAAGAGATACGAGTGTAATTCTCCCTTATTTTTATCATTTTTTAGGTACCACAACAATAATAAATACACCAACAAATGTGATAAATTGAAGTATGGTACTAAAAAAATAAATTCAGCACTTTAGTCAACTCCTAATAGGTTTTATGTCATATTTTTAGAGGTCTTACTTCCCAAGTTTTGAGTCCGAGTTCATTTTAGGATGATTTTATGTGAGGGAATCAATCGTGTTGTGTAGTGTGATTTGTATGTGGTGTTATTCGTATCATGTTTGTGTCTAGACCTACGAAAAAAAATAAATTTAATGTATTTTGAATATTAAATATTAAATTAAATTATTTATTATGCGTATTTAAAAATTACGATAAATTTATAATTATTCGTATCAAGTTGGTGTCGGGTTTGTATCAGCATGTCAGGGTTGACACCCCTAATTTTATGCTATTTTACGAAACCCTGGTAACAGGTCGGGGTCAGATAAGGCGAACTTGACTTAACCACTATGAATCAGGTCGCTTGGCCAACGTGTTGGTTCGATTTGTGTTAATTTTTTGGTCATGCATTATTATAGTGAAAAAAAAAATCACGATTTTAAGATCCAACGACAAAGATAATTTTAAATATATGCCTTTTATAAAGATCATGCTAATTTTTTTAGTACTACGTCGACTTTATTGGGTGTTTACAAAGGGACTGTTATTCCATACCCCAACCAGCAATTTCTATGCATAATGATATGAGCCATTATATTTTTATAGATATTGCAACATTATTGATTCTATATTTTCATATCATAAATTTATTTATAATTTCTTTTATTAACCATGACTAATTAATGAAAAAAAAGACTAATTAATGTGGCTTTTACTGATTAATGAAAGTTATTTCCTTTTTGTTAATCTTCACAATTACTTTCTCTTTTGTTTAAATTTGTCAATCAGTTTTTATAAAATGAAGCATCGAAACAAGACAATGAACTCCACTCACACAATCACTTGTCCAAGGGAGAACACCTACCGAATTCATGGATTTGGACCAACCGTAATACTAGTCTTCCTTGAACTAGCTACCAAAGTCGGTATTGAAAACCGATTGTAAAATAAGATGACATTATACAGACCTTAAAAAAAGTTTCAGAGTTCTTATTGACTAAATAAGTCGATAATTTATTGGAATTCAAATCAGAGCTTCATTAAATCATCAAAATATGAAGTTGATACAAATTTCTGTTCAGCCATTTCAATGGGCCCAAGAACCCTATCTTGTCATGATTATGGTAATAAACGCACACAGACACGCAACAAAGAAAACTTTGAGATCATAGAACACAATAATACCCCCACCCCCACACCCACACAATAGTTTTTTTATTCTAGAGATTGGCAAGAAGATCTAGGCAGTGGGTGTGGTCCATAACATCTCTTATATTACCTTCCCACATACCCACTTGACATGAAACCATTAAAAAAACATCAAATTTTCAAATCATCAATTGGCCTCATGCCCTTCTGGAAGAACTCAAAATAATTAGCAGTGTAATCAACAATTTTCTTGTAACGCCTTGGCCTGTTCTCATCAATCAGCCCTTCTGCCGGTTCAACCACACTTGTTGGATCAGGAGCAAAGAAAAAAGCAGCAGTGATCCTTTCTCTCTCTTTGTTTGTCACAACCCTGTGGATTGGGCTCTTGTATATGCCATTGGTCATTATCTGCAGATTTCATTGAGCTAACTTTAAGCAAACAGCTACCAGAAAAGAAGGAAAAAGGTAAGAGGGCAACCTTACTTTAAACAAGGCACTACCAAAAAGAAATCTATTTTTTTGAGCCACAAACGTTTCCAAAAGCAACCAAGTCAAAAGAGCATGCTGAAAAATTTTCAAGAAAATAATTCTAGGTGAAGTCGGATTAGGGGTGAACTCGAGCGAGTTGGTGGGTTAAGGGATTAATCTAGACCCTCAAACCGAGTTCAACCTGAACACGAAATGAACCTGAGCCCTTCAGCCTACTATCATATTAGAGAACATTTGAACTTGGTTATGCAATTGGGGTTGAAATCAACTTCTATTGGAACTTGATTGTTGGGTTACATAGTTCAGGCTAGAATATCGAGCTATTGAACTCGTGCTAGAATTCGGGATCAATTTGGGTAGAATATGGATCCAATGCATGTTGAACTTGAATTCATTGGTTTTGGTTAGGTGTCGAGATCCCCAGATCATAACTTAGATATTATTCGAATATAAATCGATTTAAAATCTTGTATCCTAGAACAACCCAGATATTTAAAATCTTTGACCAGTTATCTTCTTACCTCAAGTTGATCACCAACATTGAAGACAATAGCATCAGGAATTATGGGAGCTCTGTACCATTGATCATCTTTCAGGAATTGAAGGCCTTCCACTTCTCTATCTTGCAGAAGAAAGGTAGTTCCTGATGCATCTCCATGTGCTTTTGCAGCAAGAACAAGATGAGGGGTTGGGCATGGAGGGTACAAGTTAAATCTTGCCAAAGTTGTTGGCTTTTTCCCAAACTGTTTCACAAAACAGTTCTCTTCCAAGTTCAATGACTTTGCTATGCCCTTGAGGATGATCTCATTTATACCTTGTAATTTTGTAGTATACTCACATAGCATTTCACTGCAAGATGAAGAAAAAAGTTTAAAATAAATGTGCACGAGACACGCAAACAAATGAAAAATTTTAGAATATACAAATTTTGGTGATTCAATACGGAAGTTTATGTTCACAGTTAAAGTTAAGTGGTAAAGTTTTATTATCAAAATGAATATCATAGGGTTCATTGAAATGAAAGAGGATAAGTAAATTGACTTATAATATTATAGAGTGTCTTGTTTCTTAATAGAACTAAAATTTTAAATCGAGAAGAGATCAAATTTCAAAATTACCATCATCCTTTCAAATCGGTTCGAATTCTAGAAATGGATCCAAAGAAAATTGTCACATTCTGTGGGCTAAAACTAATGAAAAAATTTTAATTAATTCAACGGGTTTCATATCAGAGCATGTACAAATCAGAATGAAAAACAAGAATTTCCCACAACAAAAATTACCCAAGTTAAACCCATCTTGTAAATTTGCAAATTCTGAAACTTGGAACAAAAAAAAAAACATGAATTTACCTAAACTTTTCAGGATTTTTGGGCCACTTTTCGAGTTTTCTGATTTCTATGGGGAGAGTATTGAGATACAGACGGTCATTCCAATCAAGAGTTTGCTTCTCTGAGTAAACTACATCATTCCCATATCCATCTATGCCATTTGCATCTCTGGAGTATTTTTCTTCTCTTCCATTGGAAGTTGAAAGAATTCTCTGGTAAGATCATGCACTTGGTCGAGAAATGAACTCTCAACTCCATGATTTATTGCCTGAAGTCCAGAAGTCGTGGATATCATTAGGATAAAGCTATGGCCCAGATACTGATTTTTCAGTTTCGGTACTATTTGTAATCCTTGATCGCAAAATAATAAAGTCAAATGCAACTATGCAATACTTTCTGAATAAAGTCATCAAAGGATTTTTTTTTTTTTTGTGGAGCCAACGTCTCATCAAAAGATAAAAAGAGGAGATATAACATTAAAAAGTAATTCTAGAACCATATTGTAACACATGATTATGGTGCTAATCTATAATGAAGAGCCCAACTTGTCCATTAACAAGTTATAATGATGAGTGCAGCTTTGGAATGCAACAATAATGGTAAGTCCCAAGAAAGAAGAAACAAAATTTATCTCTCTCTCTCTCTCTCTCTCTCACACACACTCTCTTGTCTAATACACACACACACACAAACACAATCAAAAGGCTGAGTTGTTAATACTCCAAGTCCAAGAATATGATGATCTGTAAAGTTGAGTGCTGAGTTCTTTCAAGCTAACTAAAAATTAACTGTCTAGCAAAGATTTCTTCTCGGGATAATCACTTGCCCTTTAGATTTATGATTACAACACAAATCTTGAACCGACACGATACCCGCAGTTCGCATGCATCTAAAACAGGTTTAACAGGAGTAGAGAGGCGCAAACTTATGACGCACAGATTTAAAACTCGCCATTTGACTACTAAATCAACCAGTGCAGGTTCCGGGTTCTTCTTCATTCTTCTTCTACTTCTTTATTTTATTGACTTGTTCCTTCATTTTTTAACTTAGAAAGTAAGACCTTTATTTTCGAGCTAAGGCGGGAGACCAAGCATAAGATATTACGAACATAACTGAATCATTGCAACATGATGAGATCAGATAAGAGCTTTGAGATCAAACCTGAAAGTAACCACAATAGCTGAGAGCAGACCGGAGCCGGTCAAGTTGCTCTTCACTCTCTGGTGAAGACGAAGCAAGCAGACCAAGATCAATAACTGGAATATCCAGCACTGGAAAGGAAGAGTCACCATTCAATCCAATACCATCCTTCAAGAGGTATCTTGATGGAGGTCCATTGCGGTTCATGGACAGTTCTTGGACCGAACTAGCCAGTGATTCTACCTCTGCAGCCATGTTCTTTAGCTCTGCTGGTTTGATGGTAATGATCAGATTGTGTTTAGGAGTTACAGAGAATTTGCTGTGGCCTTACAGTATGAGTTGAGGCTTTTATAGGGAAAACATAATGAATGTGGGGGTTGGGGTGTAATTT